CAGCCTCGCCCTCAAGCCAAGCCCTTTAGCAGCCTGTGACCCAGACTGGCTGGTGGGCGGCTGAAGCCGGCCTTGGGCCTAAAAGCCCTTCCTGGGCCATAGGACTAGGCTTTGGGAAGTGCCGAATGGGCCCTTCCTCCCCCCCCCCCCCCCCCCCCCCCCGGCCAAAGCCGCCCAGGGCCTTCGCCTCAGCTGGGACACCTGGGGAGCCCACCCAGTTCTGGTCCAGGTGCTGCGGGCCCGGGAAGCCTCAGCCCCTCCTCCTGCCTCCAGCTGAGCCTAGGTCCGGCTCCTGTGGCAGTCCCAGCGGTTGGCAGTCCGCCTCCCTACCTTTTTTTCTCCTTCTTGGCGCTCAGATGGATGTATTTAAAATCTAGTGGAGGCAAAATGAGCTGTAACAAGGCCTAAGCACTTTAGAACAAATAAATACAGCCAATCCTGGAACTCTGGCCGCGCTAAAGCGACGCTCCAATGAGAACAGCACCCACCTTCGCGCCTCTCCGCACTTAGGAACGCGCCGCAGCGCACTAACTGGCGTTGGAAAGATCTAGCAACACTGGGAGTCTGTGACTGTCACCGAAAGAAAATCTCCACAGCGTTGGTTGAAGTGTCTCTCGTCAGAGCCACCAGAAATAAAATGGCGTGGCTCCGAGGCCTGCAGACCTACTTGGTGCACACAGATGCAGCTCATCACAGTGCGGTCACAGTGTCGGGAGGGAAATGAATCAAATGGAAAAACGACCTTGTTGCCTCCTGCAGAAGCAGCGGCTTCAACCCTCTAATTGTACTCATTCCTACTAGGAAGGGAAAAGAACGGCTGGGCCTCAGGCCACAGGCCGTGAAGGTTGCAACGGGTTAGGGGAGAGAATCTCGGTGCCGAGGCAGTCAGTACATCATTCTTACCCGCTTAAGATGATTAGACGCCATAAAAAATAATTGCACCAATTTAGTGTAAAATAGGTGTGTTCTAGACGGGGAAGGGAAAGCCTGAGTGTGAATTGCAAATGATAGATGAAAGCCCTGGCATTTAGGATGTGTCTGCTTGTGTGTACATGGAGACCTCCAAGCTCCAGCTTTGAGAAGTTGAACAAGACTCTGGACTTGGAAGAAGTGTCTAGAGTCGGCTAGGTCAAGAGTGAAGTCTGTATTAGTTGTATGAGCCTTGCTCAGAACTAGGATTATTGAATCATCTATCCATCCCTGCCTCTCCAACTGAGCCATTAGGGTCATCTTTTTATGGGATGGCTTCATCAATTGAGAAGGTTTCCCATAGTCGCAGGAGTAGCTGCATCTGAGATTTTGTCATGAACTATTTCTTTGGCAAGTTTCCAAAGGAAGCACCATGTGTCGTTAAATGTATCACCAGAAGATGCGTTGTTCAGCACCAAAACTGATGTTTTCAAACTATCATATTACAGTTCCTTTGCTTGCTGGCTTGGCTTTTTAAACACTAGAAACATAAATGTGAATATAAGAGAAATGTCACTTTCTCCCTACCTCAGACATTCAAAGAGCAGCTAAGAGTAACACAATCTTTAAATTAAAAGGGATTTACCAAAAGGTCTCTCATGCTTGGCTATAAAAATGAAACCAAAACCCTGAGTTAGTTCTGCCTTTGATTAAAATGGAGTTATTAGAGAGGAGTAGTTTCAGATAGACACCTCAGGAGAAATTATTATTGCATTGTGCAGAAGAGTGGAGTATATAGCCCAAATCAGATGCAGGTAAGACATTCGTGGGGAGGGGGATGCTGTGAACAACCAAGATTTATTGTGATCTTTTTTAGCTTGTGTTATCATAGACACTCTTCCCCAAGGGGATTAAACCTAGAATGTGGTCAACCTTCATTTGGTCATTTTTGACCCAAAGCCAATCAAAGATCATTCATTTCTGCTTTGGAGATTGAGATGCAAGTTAAACCATTTTTGCTTTCTCTTTGAAGAAGTTTTGACTATGTAATAACTTTAACAAATATTGGAAAGTGGAGCTATTTCTTTATATGTTTTCAATTCCAGTTCATTCTAAATGTCTGCTTTATTCTGGGAGCCTGCTTTTAAAAGCAACTAACTTGTTAAAATGCCTAATAGGAAATCTTCTAATAATGAATTTATACATACTGTTACATCACAGATGTTAGAGCTGGAAAGGCAGCACCCTTGGAGGTCACGTCCCATCCCTTCAGTTTACAGATGAGAAATGAAGCCAAACAAATTGTACAAAAACCAAATTTCCACACACTCCACCAAGAAATTTCAACTTCACTTTTTTTCAAATCAAGGTTTTCGGAACTTTGGAGCTTATCATGACTTAATTATCATTTAAATTCTTCTCCCCTTTTTTGCTTGTTTGCTCAGAAATTTATTTCTTAAAAATAAATTGTGTGCTTGTCTTAAAAATAGAGTTACACTCATTTCAATATTAGTGTCTCAAATATGATTCAGCTTTTTGTGATTTCTTAATGAAATTCTACACAAAGCATTGCCAAAAAATACAAGTACTACATTCAATTTGACATGGGGAGAATTTCAAAAACACACAACTCATTCGGCATCCAACAATCACATAAGCAAGAAAAAGTTAGAATACAACACACAAACTTATGAAAATTAGATACTTTATTTATAGTTTAATCACAAGAACAACTTTCTTGTTCTTCAATACGTAAATACATACTAGAATAAACTCTGTAGAATATACAAAAAAATACATATTTTCCCATGAAAAATTTCTTTATAATAAATAGAAGGGAACACGTGTGTGGCTGATCCGGATAATGCTCCGTGTCTGCTTAGGTTTTCAGACTGTTGATTTATTTTTAATCTCTCGAAAGAATGGGGGAGTTCCTTCTTCCCTAAAAGGTCGAGATAAATAATGCATGAAGCAATCCTCCCTCCTGATTTTTCCCTTTTCCTCCACATTTTTCCTTTTGATAGAGAGTTCAGCCTAAATTTCCACGCTTGCATTCAATCATTACAAAGCCTACAAATTATACAATGACTTCTAACCTGCCCCTCTAACAAAACAAGTTTTTTCCCCCTTATAAATCATAAGAGACAGATGGCAAAATAGGGAAGAAAAAGGAAAGAGAAGGACGGAACAATAGGCATTGTGACGAATCTGGGAAACAGAACAAAGTGCACATCAGAGAGGGAAAGTTTGGTTTGACAGGTGAAATTCCCACAGCCTGCAGACAGCAATGGGAATAAAGCAGATGCCAGCCATTGCAAATCTGTGGATAATATTATTACCAGTAAAATCATTCAGATGCTAAGATACATTTCTTTCTACTCGACATTAACATCTCTATGTAGAAGCAAAGGTGAAGAGATCACAGGAACCAGTTGCATTCTCCCTGTGAGATTCACACGAACTGCACCAAGTCCTCCGGCGTTACAGAGAAAGGGGAGGAGCGTCAGTCCGCTCTGCAAACTGTTTAGATATGCCACCATCATCTCTTCCCAGCGTCTTTTTCGTCTCAAGAAGCGCCCCGAAAACGCCACCCTTGGCTTTGACAATAAGCTCCATCACACCTTCAATAAATCAGAGCCCGTCTGAATGAAAGATACACAAAGCCAAGAAATGCAAGAAACAACCGGGGAATCAGAACGGCTACACCTGCCCTGTGAAGTGAGAAGGTTTCCAGGGCATAGAAGGGAGGGGGCAGGGTAAGGGAGGAGGGCTTGACTGGGGACAGGAAAGGGAACCCACTAAGGCCTGACGTGGGTAACAGAAACGGCAGCTCTAGATACAATCCCTGGCTATGGGGAGGTGAGGTGCATAGCGGTGCTTGTCGGGAGGTGGGGGCTGCCAATAGTCCATGTCTGACCCGGCCGGGCTGGCGGGCGATAAAGTGCAGCTGTAGGGGGAGGTGGAGTTGGAGGACGCGGAGGAGGACGGCGCGGGGCTGTTGGTGCAACTCCACGTGGAGGCGGGCGAGGGGCTGTCTCCGCTGCTGCTCAGGGTGGCACTGGCGCCTCCCGGGCTCAGCAACACTGCCTCGGAGAAGAGCGCCCCCGGCAGGCCTCCGCCGCCGCCCCCGCAGTGATCCGCCAGGCGCAGGGTCTCGGTGAGCGCCCAGATGTAGTTGTGGGCGAAGCGCAGGGTCTCGATCTTGGTGAGCTTGGCGTCCTCTGGGAACGTGGGGAGCACCTCGCGCAGCGCGTCCAGTGCCGCGTTGAGGTTGTGCATGCGGTTTCGCTCGCGGTTGTTGGCCTTCAGTCTACGGGTCTTCTTGATGCGCTGCACCGTCTCGGCGGTCTTGGCGCCTCGGGAGATGGCCCGCGCCCGAGAGGGGCGCCGTTTGCAATCGTGCACCAGACCCAGCAGCCGTGCGGGCCGGCAGCCCTCCGCACCCGCAGCCGCGCCGCCCCGCGCCCCCTGCCCGGCCTCAGCCCCGCGCTGCCGACGCGCCCCGCCTGACGCGCCCGGCTCCTCCTCCTCTTCTTCGTCGGCGCTGGATGACAGCGGGGTCAGGGCCGCCAAGGCGGGGGAGGCCGAACCGAGCAGCACCAACACGTCCTCTTCCTCCTTCAACTCCAAGGTCTCGGATTTGACGAACATCCTACCAAAGAGAGAGGGGAAGGAGAAAAAGGCAGTGAGGCGTAAGGAAAGAAACAGAGGCGCGATCTTCGTGTCACAGGGGCGTGCTCGGGCGCGCACCCGAGAAGACCAGCTCCGAATGGCGCGGGTAAAGAAACCTGGGCCAAGGTCAGGAGCGCCGCTAGCTCTCGCTGTGATCCTGCAGCCAGTCAGCCAGGTCCTGCCCTCCGCGGGCCGACCTGCGTTCCCGCCGAGAAGGGACTGCGGCCTCCGCGACAAAGATTCTGCGCGGACCAGAGGGCGTGCGGGTGTGGTTGGACTGAGTGCTGGGAAGCCACCTGCGAAGTTGGAAGCCGTGGCTCGAATACTTACTTAGTTGGCTCTAACTGTGCCTCAGCGTTGCTGTGACTTTTGCGTGTGCCGGGAATCTCAGTGCAGCCGCGAGCGCAGCGCCGCGTCCTTCGCCGGGGGTGAAAGCTGCAAGCCTGGCGCTACTGTGGCGCAGCTCCGCGGGGGACCTCTGCGACCGGCGAGTTTGCCAAGAGCCCCGGCGGCGGCGGCGGCGGCGGCGGCGGCCCGCCCGGGTCTTGTGTGTTGTGGTGGTGGTGCGTGTCTGTCTGTCAGTCAGTCCCTGGCCGTGCGGCTCCTGGCACGCGACTCCCAGGCACTCCAGTTAAAGCGAAGCTGCTTGTGGTTCAGTGGCTGCGTGTCTGGCACACGACTCTCCTTAAAACCCCTTATATACCACCAAGAAAACAATCAGATCTGCCCCGGGCCCCCCCTTCCCCGCCACCGCCTCCTCCTCCTGTCAGTCCTGCCCCCCTTCTCCCCCGCTTTTCCCTCCCCTGGCTTATTCTTTTCATTGCATTATCATCATTCATTTCTTTCTCTTTCTTCACTGCGTTTCCCCCTCCCTTGGCCCTGCCATCCATCCTCCTCCTCCCACCACCCCCGCCTCTCTTTTCCCCCTTTATCTAATCAGCATAAAATGGTTCTAAAGCTCCTGTTGGAGTTCCAGGCTGCGGCCGGAGCTGGCGAAGCCGCAGCGGCCGCAGAGGCTCAAGCTGCGGCTGTTGTCGCCGCCGCTGTCCATTGTGATTGGTGGCTCGCGCTCGGCTGGAGCGTGCCGCTAATTTATTAATGAATGGAGGTCGCGAGGCGCAGCTGGCCAATCAGGGCGCCCCGGACTCCGGGAGGCCTGCGAGCCACGCGCACCGGAGCCCGCTCCCTTTCAGCGGCTCATTAGGGGCCCGAGCGCTGGGGGCGGATGGGGGGACCCGTGCTACCGCCCCCGCCTTCGTCCTCGCTGCAGCCGAGGCTCCCCCCGCCCGGCGCGCGCGCAGGCACCGCACCCGGCGCTGCCGGCCCTCCTAGCTCCTGGGTGATGGGAACTAGGAATTAGTTAATGGGGGTCAGAATCCCGGGGAAAGCAGTTAGCCCTGTGGTGCTGCCGGGCGTCTCTTGGCAAAGCCTCTTAGGGGCTGTATCAAATAGTAAACGATTTTTAAAAGGATTCATTTGGTTAGGAGAGGAGAAGGGCGTGGATGGCGAGCTGTGGACGCCTCGTGGACAAGTGTGTTTGGGGTCCGTCGAAACTGGCGTGGGAGAGTGAAGGGAGAGGACACTGGGGATTCAAACAGGCGTCTCCTGGGAGGGGAGGTCGGATAGTGTAGCAGTTGATGAGCTTTTAGGGATGTGAGAATAAAACCACTCACTTGTTAGAGCTGAAAGGATCCCCCTCGTTTTACATACGGCAAACTGAGGCTCCGGGCACTGATACAGGTTTTGCGGGGGTTTACCCAGTTTATAGCCTGGAGGGACAGCAAGGAGGCTTCCCGCGTGGGTGGCAGCGAACCGAGCTGGAGGAGCGGCAGAGCTGCTGCTCCTGCAAGCAAATGCGCTGCGCTGACATTTCCGTGACCTCTGCTCCGCGCTGGGGGGCGTTGTAGGGACAAGGGGCCCATCTTCCCAATTCTTCTGTTTTTCAATAAGAAAAAAGAGCTGAAGGAAGACTGGACCTCGGAGGAAACTTGTTCTGAATTGCTCGTCAGCCCTCCCCACTTTCCCCACGTTCATGCCCACCCTTTTGTCCACGTGGGGATGGATCCGGACTTCAGTAGACTGGAGTGGGGTCCCTTGAGATCCCCTTTGCAAATTAACTTTAGGCAAGGCACAGTTGGAGTGTTAGGAGTGGAAGAGTAGAAGAGAAAGAGAATACTGTCTTCTGGTTTCTGTCTCCCTCGGTTTGTAGGACTTAGAAACAAACTGTATTCCAAAGATGGGGTGGTTAAATTGGCTGTTAGTATTTTGGCATGGCTTTAATTTGTTTAATGTTTTCTTCAGGGAGATAACAAGGAGGACTGGAAGGCACAAAGTAAAGAAAGTGAAAATCAGAAACCTGTGAAAAGGAGCATTACCCATTGCAGTTCGTCAACCTTCCGGCTTCCCTCTATCTTGGAATTATTTGAAAACTATCATGATTTCCACTTTGCTCTTTGATGTTTGTGTTTTCACGTTCTCCCTTTTTAAAGCAAATTCCCAAAATACAAAAGCATCATTTGCCAGTTTCCGCCTCAATTATTTTAGAACAGCTTAATTTCACGTGTTAGAAGTGCAGAAATGAAAAGAAAAGGGAGACACTTTCAGTGTTTCTAGCACACAGCACCTGCGTCTCACACATCTTTGGGTTTCTGTCTCTGTATCATGAACCTTCAGAATCAGAACTTCATAAAAAGTTTGACCAAGCACAAATTGTGCTAGAAGTGCTTTCCTTTGTTGCTGTACACATGAACATTAATTTATAGGCAATTATCACTGATAGCAAACAAGCAAATACTCTTCTCATAGTCCCCCTAAAAGAAAACCTGCCAAGGGTGTGGACTTGTCTAGCCCAGTAGGGACCGAAGGAACACGTGGGAGCAGACACAGAATTTTTGTTTGTTTGTAAATTTGAATAAAATTAAAGGACAAGAAAGCTAGGTTCTGAGGAAATGATCAAAGACTTTTAAAAACAAATACCAATGAATGATAGGAGGAACCTTGGTTTTTCAGTCTTTAGATACCTATATCGCTTCACAGGAGTTGCAAAGAAATACAAGCCAAAATAGATTAATGTAATGAAAACAAAGGAAGATTTATTTTAGTGTCAGTGGAGATACCTGTCTTTGGACAGTTTGCTTTAAACTTTTGGTTTAGCTAGGGAGTGCTAGGTTGATTTAATGATAAAATACATTTGGGGGAAGAACAGAATTGGAATCTAGTTAAGTAGAGACTTAAAGGGAAACTTGGTGAGCCTCGTATAACCCCAAATAACAATGAGATCAAGCTGGGTCTGATGCTTAGTGCCAGTGAAACACACAATGGATTTCTTTAGTTGATTGTTAACAGTATTTGAACATCTGACTCTCCAGTTTTTATATTCTCCCAGGATTTTATGTTTTTATGACTCACTGAAAGGGTACATGTTTTCCTTTGACAAAATCCAAATCTTCTATACTGTCTGTGAGTGATAAGTTAATAATGCATATTTAAGTATATTCTATACAGATGCTTAGTAATGGTAAAATTGTATTAAGGTAAACTGCACGCTTCATATTCTGGAACTTTCCTGCAAAAGGAAAAACCATTCCAACGATGGCAAGAAACTTAGGATTGTGTACATATTCAAACATTGCTATAAATCAATTTCTAATCATTAAATGTAAAAACATCATCGGGTTTATAGAATTTTATTTTTTTAAACGAGGGCTTCTTTAGGCATATGCAGTGATGTATGTCCAATTACTATAAAAAAATACATCTGTAAATGAGAACACGTGGACACAGGGAGGGGAACATCACATACGAGACCTGGTGGGGGGTGGGGCTGGGGGGCGAGGGGAGGGAGAGCATTAGGACCAATACCTAATGCATGCGGGGACTTAAAACCTAGATTATAGGCCGGGCGCGGTGGCTCACGCCTGTAATCCTAGCACTTTAGGAGGCCGAGGCGGGTGGATTACGAGGTCAGGAGATCGAGACCATCCTGGCTATCACAGTGAAACCCTGTCTTACTAAAGAACACAAAAAATTAGCCGGGCGTAGTGGCGAGCGCCTATAGTCCCAGCTACTGGGGAGGCTGAGGCAGGAGAATGATGTGAACCCAGGAGGCGGAGGTTGCAGTGAGCCGAGATTGCGCCATTGCACTCCAGCCTGGGCGACAGAGCGAGACTCCGTCTCAAAAAAAAAAAAAAAAAAAAAAAACCTAGATTATAGGTTGATACGTGCAGCAAAGCACTATAGCACATGTTGAAACAAACCTGCACATTCTGCACATGTATATCCCAGAAAGTAAAATGTAAAAAAAAAAAAAAAGTATACAACAATTTTTAAAAGTACATCTGTAAAAAACAAAAACACAAAAACACCCTCTATATATCCTGGAACTCTTAAGATTTTTGGTTGTGTGTTTGTACTGTAGCCTTAAGAGCTGATTCACACTTGATCACAAAGCATTTCTGAAAATATTTCTTACTGTGAAAAATATCATTTTTAAAAAGAAGAGAAACACCCAAGGACAACCTCATGCAATCCAAAGACCAACCATTCCTACTCACAGTTGCCTAGATAGCAGAATTGTATTTGTTCAGCATTTTGCTTAGTTTTGCCGGAAAAAGAAAGCAATTTCCATTTGTACTCAGCTTTGCGAAGGCATAACTAATGCCAAATATCCTTAGCTGTACTCTTCTAGCACTCTTTTAACTTAAATAAATTCAAGAGGCACTTGTGTGGTCTAAAAGATTGTCCAGATGAAACGAGGCTGAAATGTTATGTGAAGGGGGAGGGGAGTGAGTGAATAGCATCAGCCAGGATGGTGACCGAGGGCCGCTCCTGTCCATTGCATGAACTGTCCTAAGGGGTCAAACTGTTCATCTTCAGCCCTTCTTTCAGTGCGGAATCCTACTTTAAGAGAACAAAAGCTCAAAGCAGGCAGTTATCAAGAAATGGGAGCACAATGATTTAAACTCATCCCCAAACCTCAGAAAGAAAGGGGGCTGAGTGCATGCAGTGAGAGAAAAGTGAAGTAAGGGGAGGGGTGACAGGGTGGGGATCTTTAGAAAGCCTTTGTTGCTTCTAAGAAGCTTGAACTTTGAGACGACCCAAAAGCCCTAAAGTTTAGGGTAGGTGTTGCTGTGGAGCCATAGGCTACATCCCCTCCACACTTCGACCTCACAAGTGGCGAAAGAGGACAAATGGTCGCCGCGCTAGTCCCTTGCTGTTGCAGGTGACTGTCGGGGGCGCGAAGGAGGGTGCCCTTCCCTGAGAAGACAAAAGCCAAGGTTTGGCTATCCAGCGAGCCTGTCCCCTAATTCACAGGAATGTCTGCGCTCTGCTAAAATAACAAGATGAAGTACCTGACAAGGGGGCTTTGTAACCCAAATCCTAATCCTCCGAGTGAGTTCTCAGAAAGATGGAAAGACGGCGGGAAAAAGTTGGTAAATCCTAAACATCTTTTACATCAACTGTCTCTAGTTCTTCGCTGCAGGCTAGAAACGCAGCTTCCAGAGCAGGAGAGCCTGGGATGGGAACAATTAGCTTTCTCCGCAGAGCACCCCTTACAACGCTAGGATTCGTTATTGATAGTGGTGAGCGCTGGGAATGAGTGTGAATTCAGAGTTTCTGACGGTCCCTATCCGGGAGCCAAGGAAGCCAAGGGGAAAACAATGTAAATTCGCCCCGATCCCCAGTTACTGCATCCCACAAGGTATTCTCGGTCTCCCTCACGTTTTCCCCTTGAATCCTCTCGCGGGAGGAATCGGCTTGAACCTAGCCCTGGAGAGGTCCCGGCCAGGTCACTGAGCTGCGCTTCACTGCGCCAGCCCCTCCCCTTCAGTATTTTCATAGCGTCCGAGGAATCGGCATCCGCCAGAGCAGACAGAAGGCAGGGAAGATCATCCTCCAGGCCCCAAGCCCCACTCTAGAGACCCTGGTCCCAAGCTCGGACGACGCGCTCTGGTGCCTCCAAGTCAAACCTTCCGGGATTCGGCTTGACACACAAGGTCATCTTGCTAGCGCAGAATCGGCCCCGCAGGTGCTAGGAGGCTCACTTCCTTCTTCGCAGACGCTATACCCTGTCCCCACCTGCTCTGGGGAAGGCAAAGCTCCGCAAACTTCTTACCCCTAATGCAACCCGCTACCCAAGTGTCCCTCTTCTTTCCCACGAAGGAAAGAAATTACCGTAGGAGATTTTGCCAATCTATGCCAGCTTTCTGATTGTTTTCTTCAGGTAAGGGGAAAAGAACAGCCAGCGCGTGAATGGAGAGCTGGGGGCCCACTAGGGAGAGAACCTCTTCCCCACCCTTCTGTGCCTGCAAAAAGGGACATTGGCTATCCAGGGGAAAGTGCAAGAAAGAGAGCACTAATCGCTGAACCAGGAGACAAACACGATTACCAGCTCCGAGCCTTGAGTCAGAAAGTCTCATAGACTTTAAGATGTTAATCCCCAGCATAATCCTTCCTTTGGCGTGTAGGAATAGTGCAGCCACAAGAGTTGTTTTGTTATTTATATTGGCGTTTAATAAAACTCAGCCAGTGGTGAATGGGCTGCCCACTCTCCAATGGTAATTAATTCCCTATTTCAGTGACCCAATTGTCCTGGGACAGAGCGGTGGGCCCGTCCCAGTGCCCCGATCCCCCTTTGTACGGATACACTGCCCTCGTGCTTCAACAGCTATGGAAACTCATTCTTTTGATGTCATTCAAGGAGTTTTCCTTGGGCATCTTCTAAACTTCAAGGACCCTTTTCTTTCTCCGTTTCATGAAAAGCAGTGCGAGCTTGACCACCTCTGTAGAATTTAATGATTTGGTGAAAGGGCCCTTTGGGATTCGTGTAAGGAGTTAGACACCGAGCAAGGAAATTTGGCAGCCTGCTCCCTCCCGGCGACCGTCCCGAACCTGGAAAACACAAAACTTTGAGAAATGGATAAAGATCTTGAAAGCTGATTTTCCCTCTCCTTTCCCCACTAAGGAAAAAAAAACACCCAAAATAAAACAAAACTTAATTTTCTTCTGGAAATAAATGCATTTTTTATTGTTGCTGATACAAATTAAAAGAGTGATGTTGAGGTAAATAAGTTCGAATCTTTAGCAGAGACGGTTCCTTAATCTGTACCTTTTGAGAAAAGGATATCAGTTTATTACTTTAATTGATTCATTGAATCATTTCTCCTCCCTATATTCAAACTACACTTAAGGAACACCCAATGTGTGTCAAACACTGTAGTAGGCCCAGGAAACACTGCGATGCACAAGACGCACATTCCTACCCCCATAGAGCTTACATTCAAAAGGTATTGAAAATCGTTTTACGGGTCGGGCACGCGGTGGCTCACGCCTTTAATCCCAGCTTTGGGATAGGGAGGCCGAGATCGCCTGAGCTCAGCAGTTCGAAGCCAGCCTGAGAAACAGGGCAAATCCCCGTCTCAAAAAAAAAAAAAAAAAAAAAAAAAAAAAAAAAAAAATTAGCCAGGCGTGGTAGCACGTTCCTGTAATCCCAGCTACTCGCGAGACGGAGGTGGGAGAATCACTTGAGCCCGGAAACGGGAGGTTGCAATGAGACCACTGCACTCCAGCCCGGGCGACAGAGTCCCTATCTCAAAAAAAAAAGGTTTTATCTATCAAAAAAGGATACTTGTATGTAGACAATGAAACAATGCAATGCAATAGTGTTGGGAGACGGGAGTATGGTTTATTTTCAGGAATCTAAAGATATACTTTAGAACCTAAAACATTGGGGGTCGACCCTTATTGCTGATTTATCCATTCTTTCTTCCCCCCTGCAGTCTTTCTCGAGCGCCTACAGAGTGCCAGGCGCCTAGGGAGGCGCAGCGTTAGCACCAGGCGCGAACCAGACAGCTGTGGCCTGCCTGGTAGGAACGACCTTGCGATAACGCAGTTGCTGGTACCGCTCTCGGTGGAGGAGCCAGGGCCGGGTCTCCAGGCCGGGAGGGGGCGGCCGCGGCGCGCCGGGGCAGAGCTCCCTGCACAAGTAGCTCTTCTATGTCTTTACACGTACTTCCAAAAAAAATTCGCAAGTCACAGAAACAATTCAGAATTCAACTAAGAAAATACAGAGTGAACCATATGGCCTGGGTGGCTCGAGTCGGCTGCATTTTCCTCCAGACAAAGAAGGGATTGAGGGTTGAAGGAAAGGAGAAAAAAAACCAACTTTCCGGCTGATGAAGCTGTTGTCTGGAGGCAATGATCCCAAATCTGAAGGCTTTATTCCGGCTCCGACGGAGACGTGATATGTCATATGATTAGCATCTTTCATATTTACAAGAGTGGTATGGGCTGCCAGTCTTGAGAGAAAGGCGAGAGAAAGAAGGGGGCATATGCTGAAATGGATTTAGCATTTGAAAGAGAGAAAGGAGATCGGATAAATACACTTAAACGAGGATTTAGTTTTACTCCTGTTGAGTTCTAATAGATTGTTGATTGAGATTTTAGGGGCCTGGAACCGAGGTGTCAGCAGTAATTTAAAGAAGGTATTCAGTCCGCCAGCGCCTCTTTTCTCCGTTTCCCCCTCCCTCCCCTCCATCTCCTCCCTCCCCTCCCACCCCCTCCCTCCCCTCCCACCTCCTCCCACCCCCTCCATCCCCTCCCTCATTTACGCCTTCATGCAGCACGGGGGCGGAGAAGACTTTTAAAACAAAACACAAAACAAGATCTTTT